ACGGCCTCGCTGCCTTCCGAAGGACCACCACAAATTCTGCGATGGTTTCATTAGCCGCTTGGCTCCTCTTGTAAAAGGCGTGCCTGCAGGCGATCTCTGAAGGCTGCGGTGAGAAGTGAGCCTTCAGTTTCTTCGTGAGGTCAGCGAAGGAGACGGTCTTAATATCGGTCGGGGCCACCAACAACCTTGCAATGTCGAAGGTGCCTTTCCCGCAGGAACTCAGTAGGCAAGCTCACTTCTTTGCCTCTTCTGTGATGTCATGAGTTTCCAAGTGGAACTCGAACCTGGCGAGGTAGGAGTCCCAATCTTCAGACGAGGGTTCGAACGACTCGAACTTCTGGTTTCCAGCCATCGGGGGAGACTTGGGCACCGGAGCTGGTGGCGCCTCCGTTTGATCGACTGCTGTGCTTTGCTCGCTTTCGTCCTGGTTCGGTATGGGATTGTTTGCAGGGCTGCCTACCTGCTCTAACATCCCATCCTCGTCCCCAATTGTTAGATCGCGCTAACAAAGGACTTGTAGAGTGATTTCAGCAAGTGATTCAGCTTTAATACGAACAAGCACTCAAACGCATTCAGAAACCAGAACAGTAAAACATTGGAGCTGGGCTCCTTTTAAACATACCGGGCTAATATAGCCACTCCTACTATATACATAACAACCAATCAGATTGCAGAGATAAAAGCGAATCAGTGTCCTTCCCACTCAAGGAACAGTTCGTCTGTGATTGGTCGCTGTTTTGAAGCGACCAATAGTTCGTTAGCACTGTCGGAGCCTTGGCTGGCTCGAAGCTCAACATGGGAGGTGGATTAGACGATTCATGTTATGCTGTCAGTACATAACACAAAGGCCTAGCAGGCCCAGGTAGGGTTGCCAAGTCCTCGCTCTATGTACAGCGGGGGACTCCAGTGCCGGTCCTGGAGTCTGTGCGCACGCGTGCCACAACCACGTCACCCGGAAGTGATTCCTACCACGTTGGGAATGCCGGGGACAGGGCCCCCAACAAGTCCACGTCACTCCCGGGTGACGTGCTGACGCCGGGCACGTCACGTGCTTTGGGGGTGGGGTTCCCCCTGGGGCCTGATCCGCCTGCGGCAGGTAACGGGCCTCTCGGGCGGGGGTTTCCCCGCCCCCCCGGGGGGGACTTGGCAAGCCTAGACCCTGGGAGCCTGACTAGCAGTGGTAGGAGGCCAGGCCTACAACTCCCAGAAGTCCTTGAGAAGTTTTGGCGCCAGTTTTAGCCAATCACAGTGGAAGGGGACTTATAATAGAAGAGCTGGTACAGAAGAAGAACTGTTCTTTCTTCCAAGAGAGCAGAGCCAGAAGGAAGGCTGCTTCTGGGAGAGGCCCTCACCCTGAGAGGAAGGGTGTGTAGACTCAGGCCCAACTGAGACAGAGGACTAGGGACTGTGAGTCTAGTCACATTAGGGTATTTGGTTTCTTTTCTCTTCACCCACTTATTATAGTTCTTGCACCTTGTTTGTTCCCATATTGGGTTGACCTCCTGTAAAAATAAACCTTTTATCTGTTGTTCACTCTGCCTGGTCCTCACACATATTATTCGGCCAAATAAGGGAGGTCTGAAGGTCTTGGGAGGGTGCTCTGAGCCTTCTCAAGGGATCCTAAATCTAGAGTGGTGGCAGTGTCAGGTGACACCCCACCTGAGCCGTGACACTTGTTCTCTATACATTCTTTCCCAAATGTGGTTTACTCAATATTTTTTGAAAGAACACAATCCAGCCATGTTAGAATGCTGCCTGGAAGGAATGGTGCGTGTTTTTCTGCCTTGCAAAGGTGCCACCCACATCTGCACCATTTTTCTGCCATCGGCCATTCTTGGAGCTATTTTCCCAGCATTTTTTTTCCTGCCATGCCATGCCAGTCGCGGGGTAGGCGGGGTATAAATACAAAAAAATATTTTTTAAAATAAAATAAAATTTGTTTGTTTAATGCCAATTGCTATAGCAATGTGTTGTTGCTTATCTATTTCTACGGTTGCCAAGTGACTCACCAAAATAAGCGGGGGAGAGTAGGTCCTGTTCCGGGACATTCTCTCGCACACCATGCATTGCCCAGTGACATGCCCAGCGTGATGACTTCCAGGCAATGTCATCACGCCGGGCACGTCGGCCCGATCTGGCCACTTCGGGGGTGGGGTTCCCCCTGCTGGCTGGACCCAGACCGGTGGATTGGGGGCTCTTTTAGCAGGGGAATCCCCGCCCCCAGTGGGGACTTGGTAGCCTTATCTATTACAAATTTTAATGTGAAGAAATTAACAAAAAAAAACCCCAAAACAAATGAATGTTGTGTTTTCAGTGCATGTGTGGAAAGGGAGAGTCAGAAAAAAGACCAAGGAAAACATGCAGAAAAACTCCCATGTGCAGAAGCCCCTTTGTCTCTGCATTTACAGCAACTCTGAAAGCCCTGCAGGGAATTCTACATATGTAGAAGGCAGCCATGGGCATGTTTTCCAGCTCCGTCAAGAACATAGTGTGGGAAAAGTGGGGAATTGCTAACCTGTAAATTTAACTTGCGTTTGTAATCCTTGCAGTCAGTGGAGCCATGAATGAATATTGATGACAGTCTCTTGAGCAATTCAGTCTGCTTCTCCCCCTCAAAGTCTGCTCAGAGGGGAGGGCAAATGCAAGGGCATATGTGCTAAGTGAATTAAGAGGGAGCTGTCTAACAACTTCGGAACAATATTTGGTGATTTCTGGTTTGCTGCCGTGCTGGCTAATTCATGCAAATTTGCTGACTCTGCTGGCTTGAGCAGTGCTAATCTTGTATGTGTTTCTCTTGGCAATTTCTAACTGCATGCAGCTGCACAGCACTGAAATGAAGAACAATCTTGCAGACAAGTCCAAAAAACTAAATGAGTTGTTTCCTACTTCTACTCATGTGCCTGCTACTAGCCTATGTTTTTTCCATTTGTGGCATGAAAGAAAATAAGGAGGACCAGTTCCCTGCCTGGTTTTCTAGGGCAATGTCCAGGGGTCATTTGGGGGGGGACGCGGGGGGACGCCATCCCTCCGGGTGAGGTGCAGGAGGGTGGGGCCTGGAGATCCCTGCTGGTGCCCGCTGGAGGTCGCCGCCGGCTGTGGGGAGGACACACTTCCGGTGATGTCAGGGGGTGTGGCAAATGCCAATGAGTTATGCTAATAAGTCCCCCTAGCTCTTTTTCTACGAAATGACCCCTGGCAATGTCATATCTTTTTGTAGACAACCACACAACTGGCTGTCTACCTGCCTGTGTTGACGTGTCCATAGTACATACTTGATCCAATCTCTCCTTCAGATCCTCTGGATTATACTTCTGTTAGAGGATTACCTAATTTTTAAGATTTAGGATATTTTATTTTTATATGTTTTATATATAATTTAATATATTTTATAACTAGCTTGTGTTTATAGTTCAGGTGTGCAGCTACATTTTCAGAGTTACAGAGCACATGGTGCCTTGGGTGTTTGAAGTTGGGACCAATTCATGCTGAGGGAAAGTAATTTTACTCCATTCTGTTGAGATCTGAGGAGCCCAATGAACTCTGGCAGTCTGTTCCATGCACACCTGCTTCTCTGCAGTTGGTCCCTTGGAGAACAGTGCTGTCGGGCACTTTTCTTCCTATTAGGGTTGCCAACCTCCAGATGGTGGCTGGACCTCTCCTGGAATTACAACCGATCTCCAACTGAAAGAAATCAGTTCACCTGGAGAAAATTGCTGCTTTGGAAGGTGGACTCAATGGCATACTCCATTGAAGTCTCTCTTTTCTTCAAACCCCGCCCTCCTCAGGCTTCACCCCCAAAGTCTCCAGGTATTTCCCAACCCAGAGCTGGCCACCCTATTTCCTGTGCTTGCCATCTTTCTTCTCACGCCCTTCTCCACTGAGTTATAGTTGTGCTCTTTTTGCAAAGACTAATGAGTAACTTCTGAAATTTCAAATCTTGATCCCTCCCCCGCCCCCCAAAGCCGGGGTCTGAAACCTGTGGCTTGGGTCCTCTGAATTAATTCCATGTACTCTAGTCTCTCCCACAGAGCTTAGAACCTTACCTTTTGTTTGAGAACTAGGTCCAAGTCTTGGTCTTAACCAGCATTGTAAGGTCCAGCAGTGACTTATCCAACCTTGTTGTTTTCTGTTCAGCGTTCTGATCCCAGGCTGCTGTCACAGTTCTTCTATGCTGATGAGAGAGTGACTCAAGTGGTAAGGGAGATCAATTGTCTGGATGTGGAGACAGATCCTCAGCAGTACCTGGTGCTACTAAATCAGCTGCACCTTAGTCAGGTAAGATGGGATATTTCAGGGCTTGACAAATGCCAGGCTGTCACAGCGCCTAGAAATTTCATGGTGGCATCTAGTATTTTCAGCAGTGATTTTATTGTAGCGTCTTTTCGTGATCCTCAGTACAAATACAAATCTTATTTATCATTTCACTTCTGAATACCTTTTGAAGTATGATATAAAAATACATTATGCATAAAGATCTTGTCACTAGTTCTCTGAACGGTATAAAATTAACATATAATGGTAGATGAATTTACTTCTGAACCAGTTACTTTCTATACTGGCTCCAATATTCAATTAAATGGAACTTTTCAAAGTAATAATGGAATTGTGGGAAATGGGGGGGGGGCGTTAGGTTACCTTTAGAAGTTAGCCTTTTGTTGTAATGACAACCAGGGTTACCCCCACCTTATGGAATGGCCTGGCAAGGAGATCAGGAAAGCTCCCAGTCTCCTGGCCTTCCACAAACTGTGCAAAACTGAATTATTCAAGAGTGCTTTTCTGCACAGATAATAGGGATGCACTGTTCAAAATAGTTCGCAAACTTACTTGGATAAATGATTAGGGACTGTGGTCTATACTACTGTGCAGGGCCAGCTCCAGGGTTTTTTGCACACTAGGCGAGGCTACCTTCTGGCGCCACCCCCCCCCCCCCGTGCACCCACCAATTTTCAAACATAAATGCATTTTAGGAAATAATAATAATAATGATAGTAAACATGAGCAATGACTTTGGTTATGATGTGATATGCCAGGCATATCACATCCTGGCATATCACATCATAACCAAAGCCAAATATTTATTTCTAACTGTACAGAAACACTCAAGAACGCACAATCACACAGATGTTCCATTGCTTAACTACTACTGAAAAGTCAACCTGGAAAATAGCAAAAACAAAAAAGCTAATAGGAAAGCCGCAGAAAGCCCCACCTGGGGGCTGGCAACCAGTGTTCCCTCTAAGCTGAGCTAGCGTGAGCCGGCTCACAGTTTTTTCAGCCTCCGGCTCACACATTCTTGTCTCAGCTCAGGAAGGGACGGCTCCAGAGCAAACTCATTTATGCTGCAGCCAAATGGCTCGCTCACAACTTTAATGCCAACTAGAATGCTAATCGCTCACAAAGGAGAATTTTTGCTCACAAGACTCTGCTGCTTAGAAGGAGTATTGCAGCCAGTGTGTACCCAGAGCAGCTTTGATTTGATGCTGTGCTGGGGGGGGGGGAGTTATGTTTTTTAAAACAAACAAACACCAGAGGAACTCTGAGGACCCGGCTGTCACCTTTTCTTCGCATCGACTCTGCGGATGGGAGAGGGGCGCTCTTCTCTCCCTCTCCGAGGCTCCCCCCGCCACCAGCCCCTCGAGGGGGCGGGTGGAGGAGGGAAAACCACCCAGCTGCTCTCCGTCCCCCCCGGCTCCCGTGGACAAAAATCCAGACGGCGGGGAGGGGAGGCGGCGGCTCTGGGCACACATCTCGACACCAAACTTTCTAGAGTGCCTTGCCGCCGGCACCGCCGGTGAGAGAGTCGAGAGGCAAGGGTGCCCCCCACGCTCGCCCAGCCACCCGCTGAGTGACTCGCTCGGCAGCTGACATCCAACCGAGGGGTGGCAGTGCCTCTCCAGTGTGCGGCACGAGCTTTTGGCGGGGGAGGGGGGCTCAGTCTGGCACCCCCATGATGGCCGCGCTCTAGGCGAGAGTCTAGCTCGCCTAGTGAGTGAGCCGGCCCTGCTACTGTGTATAGCTCACTGTAAAGTATAGCTTATTGTAAATAGGATCCTGTTATGTAATGTTTGTACCGCTTAATGTGTCATGTTAATAGTTATTAATATTTAATTATTAATATTTATGCTGTGCTTCAGTTCTTTCTGGCTGTGCTCCACCACAACAACTTTGTTAATGTCAGCAGGGGTTTCTGTGTTTGCCAACATGCAAATGGGCAAAATCAACAACTGCCCATACTGTGCTTTTTCTGTTGAGGCCCCTGTAATGCATTGGTTACTGAATGTCCGATTTTGCTGATTGTACTGACTCACTATGTGTAATCCACCTTGAGTTCCTGTGTAGGGTTGCCAGGTGCTTCTCCCTGGTGGGGGGGGGGATTTGGGGCGGCGTGCCGGAAGGGAGCAGGGCCATCCCCGATGCGATGATGTCAAGCAGAGTGACATAATTGCATCAGGGATGGAGCGCCATACACACATACCCCCTGCTTTCCCCCAACCATTGGGGGGAAAGCAGGTGCCATGCGCGCCTGCTCTGCAAGCAGCAAATTTGCTGCTTGCAGGGCAGAAGAGGGGGGCCCCCACTTGAAAAGAGCAGGCGCCACAGTGCCTGCTGTACAACCTGCAAATTTGCAGCTTGCGGGACAGGCAGGCATGGTGCCTGCTCTTTTTAAGCGGGGCCATGGACGACTGTTGGGGAGGGGGTTAACCCCTGCTGGCCAGCTGACTGGCATGGGGGGGGAGCCCAAAAAATCAGAGGATCCTCCACCCCCACCGGGGGACTGGTATCCCTATTCCTGTGAGAAAGGTGGACTATAAATAAAATTATATAATACAATACTTTTGTCATAGCTTTAATAAAATTACAAGAAACTGTGAAGAGCCTAGAATTAGGTTTTATGGTAGCAGTAATTAGAAAAAATTGTCAATAAAATACAAAGCCCTGAATGCTGAAAAATGAGTCTGGCTCCTAAATTTTTGGGCTGGCTCCTAGGGCCAATGAAGATTGTTCAAGGGACAGTTAGGCAGTAGCGTTGTGATCAGAACTGGAGGCTGGGTGAAAGCACAGCATGAAAGTTGAACTCAACCCACCACTCAAAATCAATTTAGGTCTTTTTCTCTCCATGGGGCTCTGTAACTGCAAGTGATTCTTGCAAGGTGAAAAAGTGGCTAAAAACAATTTAAAGTGGGAAAGTGCAGGTGAACCCCCAGAGGGCATCTGCAATAATGTTTTGCTGGACTCATGGAGCAATGGGTGCTGTTCAGAAAGGCTCACTTCAGCATGGTCTGCTCTGATGCAGGTGATCTCTAGAGATTCAGACAGAGAAAGATCCTTTCCAACACCTGTTTTCTTAGACCTTCTCGGTTTAAACCTTTATCCTTTGGTACACAAAGCATGATTTCTCTACCATCAGTCCATCAGTGTCATCATTGTCTACTCAGACTGGCAGTGGTTCTCCAGGGTTTTATGTAGAGGATTTTGCCCATGCCATGCTTTGTTTCTGAGCCGTTGGGCCTAGCTAGGGGGGTTCTCAAGGGTTTCCAGGTCCCCCTAAATTTCTGGAGAACCCCTTCCTAAATCCCACATGGCTCCGCCTCCATAAATAGTGACAATGGCCTGTGACGTCACTGGCTCCTTCCTATGATGTCATTGGGCCTCGGTTCTTTTAAGGACCTGGCACAGCAATGCCTCTGGCCCAGCCCCCCCCCAAATTGGAAAGTCTACGCCCTTGGCTCATACAGCAAATTATATGTAAATCTGGCAGAATGTAGCTTGCTTACCACGGCTTGGACATATTTGTATGTGACATGCTGTTGATGAAATTGCAACAGTAGCATGGAAGTTTCTCATCCTTGATTAGAGGGGGGAAATGGTAATACGGGTCACTCTTGGTAGATGGAGCAGCTGTTTTCTAGAGTCTCCTTCATTCTCCTCACTTCCTGTCAGCACCGCATTTTGTTTCTCTGTTTGACCATGCAGATGCCAAAACCTGCCTTGCCCTTCTGGGCCAGCGTGGCCTCCTGCATAACAATTCATTTGCTGTCTCTGAAATGTACTTGTGCTGAGAGTACTAATGCCTCTTCCCATTCTGCCAGGCTGAACTGTTAGCCATCATAGAGCAGATAATGGATGAGTGCATCCCCAAGGAACGTCATGGCCGTGACTATGTCATCAAATTCCCTGAGGACCTTCTAGTGGATAGTCTCCGAAATCACATGCTGTTTGCTGCTGAGGTGAGCCATGAGGAGTGGTAGCCGTGTTGGATGTGCTGTGGTCAGCTGGAAGAGCTGGCCAACCTATGTTCCATTGCATATCATAAACGGAATGGTACTCCTACATGAAGGGCTGAAATAGTAGGTAACTAGATTCTTTGAATAGCTGGTGCCACACCATGTTCTTCCACTAACCGTGGCTTAAATCTCACTTGTTATACAATCCCTGGATCCTCCTGGACAGATGACTACTGAACCTTGATGCAACATTGTTGCCTTGTTTACTGAGTTATAAGCCAAAGCTAATTTTGGAGTACACAATTATTACAGTTGCTGGAGGGCACATCCTAACCCTGAAATAGATGGTAAAGAAGATGAGGTGGTGGTGGTGGGGCAGCCAGAAGACAGGACATTTTCCTGATCAGTCCATGTGCTCTCCCTTCAGTGTTTGATGGCACGCACCTATATTGATGTGGATGAGGCTGATGGAGTGCGGCTTCGACCTCTGGCCAAAGATCTGCTGTGCAGCTTAGAACTTGTACGGACAGTCCTCCGGGAGCAGAGCCTGAGCCAACATGGTCCTTACTCAGAGCCTGTCCGTAGGGCACTGATTCGCTTTGATATACTCTTTGCAGAGTTTGAGCTAAGGTATGTATTAAGCTTGCATAGTACTGCTTACTATTCCAGAGTGAGGAGTAGACAGGGCTATAAGTTGGCCTCCTTTTAGAAAATATACTACATTGAGCCTTGGAGCAGTAAAGTGGGCTTGTGGGGATATAGAGGTGAAAAAGTCTAACAGCTAATCTTTGATGAAGGCAGTTTTGTGCTAAAGAGTATTCTGGCTGGACTCAGTCAAAGGTGCTGTCATGATCTCAAGCAAAATCAGTGCTGTCTTTTGAGATTCATGCCACCAAGCACTAGCTTTGGTGGGAAACCTGAAGAAGGGGTCATATGCAGAACATGTTATTGGTGGTGGCTGAAATGGTTTTCACAGTCTGTCTGTTTTCCAGCTACGTGTCTTCATTGGTTTCAGTGAAGTCACCTGAAGAGATCTATAGACAACAGGAGATTGTTGTGCTCTTCTGCGAAACTGTGGCCAGGTGAGGATTTTGCCACTTTTCAGGGCCTCTCATTTGTGGCTAGGAAAATGCTTGAACAAGTACTGCCTACTTCTGTGATGGAAGAAAACTACGCCTTGTAAAGCAAACCTGCCAAAGCTCTGTTTGATACGAGAAATTTGGCTCAAGGTATTTCTAAGATAATTAGCTGGTTGGAGTGAGGTTATGACAGCTGCTAGTCATGTGGTCCACACCCTTCTTTTCTCATTCTCTGCACGTCTGTCTCACACTTATCTAGAGCTCTGAAGCTTGGCTACTTGACGCAGGAGATGATTGATGGCTATGAGCCGCAGCTGATGTTCACAATTCCCCGGCTGGCCATTATTAGGTATGTGGTTTTTCTGGTCATAGTATGGTTGAGATCAAACCTTCGAGGACTGCAGAACTTCACAGGTCAAGATTTCTGAAATGTTTGTCTTGTCATTTCTGGTTCTTGACGCTGGCAAGACTGATGTATTTCCAAAGCAGAATAAATCAAGCCAATTTACACTTTGTGAACTGAGGCTCTAGGACTGGAGATGGTTAGTGGGTGAACTCAGTCTTACATACTTTATTCCACCTTACTTTAAGGCAAGATTTTACTCATTCAGAATGTGTAATATGAAAGTTTTTAAGACAATCAGCAGTACTGGAAAATTCTTGTGTATACTGCAGACCAGTGTTCCCTCTAAGCTGAGATAATGTGAGCTAGCTCACAGTTTTTTAGCCTCCGGCTTACACATTTTTGTCTTAGCTCAGGAAGGATGGCTCCAGAGCAAATTAATTTATGCAGTAGCCAAATTGCTCACAACTTTAATGCAAGTAGCTCACAAAGTAAAAATTTTGGTCACAGAACTCCACAGCTTAGAGGGAACATTGCGCAGACGTACAATATTGTAAGGAAATTTTTATTGTTTAAATGTCATTGTTCATAATATGCTGTAAGGTGTATGATACAACACCATTGATTAGTTCAGTGTTACAAAGTTTAACGCAAAAACTTTTAAAAACTTTTTAACCTTTTCTACAGTGGGCTCCTGATCTACCCTGATGGACCCCTCAACTTGGAACGAAAGCCCGAGGAGATATCCCGAGTCTTCAGCCCTTTCTATGTCTTGCTTAGGAAAATCAGGTGTGTGAGTGAATGAGAAACAGCCTTCCTGCACAGGATCCTCAGTGAAACTTTACATGGATTGAGGGGATTGGTCCCTCTGGAGAAGGGAGCAAGCTGAGCACTGAGCTGTGTGTTCAGCAGAATCATATGGAGGTGTCTTTCCTAGACTGAACTGCTTCATATCACAGGTGTGGGGGGCTCATTTGAATGCGTCTGCCCATATTAAATGTCTCCCTTCATGTAGTTGACTAGCACCTCATAGAGAGGTGGTAGCTTGGTTCTTCTCCCAGATGTGTTATTTTACTATACTGGCAGACCATTCAAAGCTGTAGTTTCTGCGGTGAGAAGTCCCACAAACTCTTTACCACATGATTCTACTGAAATCCCAGTTAAGTGTGTCTTAAGAGGAGCATTGTAGAGATGTCCATGCTTTCTCTTAAAGGCAGAGACACCATTTGCATGGGTGAGAGTGGGATATTTGGGGTGCGGGGAGGCAAGCACATGTGTGCCTTCTAGAGTGAGATGAGCTACTGAATTGCCTCGCTGGGCTGCCAAGCTCAAGCAAGTCCCTTGTTGCAAGGCTTGGCTTTTGCATTGCACTTAAGGCCCTACCATAAGATAAGCTTAGAGGTATCCCTCTTTTCAATTATTGCGTGTGCTTAGATCAGCCCTTGAGGGTTGCTCATGCATGCTATCTTTCTTGTATGTCTTCCTTTTAAAAACTTTTCTGTTACAGAGACCTGCTGCGTGTGCTGTCCAAGGAAGAGCTTTACATACTGGAGAAACGTGTCCTGAATGAAAGTGCTACTGATTCACAGGCCTCCTGTGAGGTGAACTCTGCTGACTTCAGGGGCTCTGCGGCGCCACATATTTGCTTATCTGTCCCAAGGTACGGAGCAAAAGTCTCCCCCACACACACACATCTCCCAAGGTACGGAGCAAAAGTCTCCCCCCCCACACACACACACCCACAAGGGACTGGTTGCTGCTTTACCCATTGAACTTCTCAGCACAATTATTTGGATTACTAAGAGGAATCGGACCATAAATTCAAGTCACATGACTTCCTCTTTGACTTCCAAACAAAGAGTGGCATGTTGGTCCCAGTGTTTTTAGTAGTGACGCTCTGCCATGGTAAAGTGGAGGGAATAGCTAAAGGTGGAGGGAATAAAAGCGGTTAGCAGCCAGCTGACAGTAATTTACAGACCAGGAGGCCTCTTTGAGTCACAGTCATGCCTGTGTCAAATCTAAGGATTCAAAGGCGCTCTTGGAAGGTGAAAGAGAAATGTGTGAATATTCTCTGACCCAAAGCTGGTGTGGACAATATTGATGCAAGCTTTATTGTGGAGAGTCCCTTTTCCTTGGCAGTTTTCACGATGGACATTCAGACACAAAGGACAGATGCCTTCATAGAAACTCCCTCCACCCTGGACTGAATGGGGGAGAGGGGGTTAAAGATAGGAGTAAGTATACCTTTTTTTTCTTTGTTCTAACAGTTTCTCTTCACAGGCATCCTGGGCAGGAGTCCAAGAGCACTCGGGCAGGAGCTGTTGCTGTTTCACAGCACTCCCGGTGGTTGGAATTGCGAGCCCGTTACAGGACCACTGAAGACATGATCCACACATTATTTGTCTGTGTATCTGGTAAGTGCCCAAGTTTCCCCAAGAAGGTCTCTCTGGCATCCCACATTCCACATTTCAATGGGGAAAATTAGTACTGGGTATCTGGTTAGTGGCACAAAACAGTTTTTGGATAAGAAAGAGCTTAAACGAGTGTGTGATCCTCCTGCTTGGACTGGCAAAGATCAGGTGCTACTGACTTACAAAATCTATACCCTGACCTTTCTGCCCTCATCAGGGCCACCATGGCGGCTAACAGATATAAAATAAAAATACATCTTAAACCACTGAATGATTAAAACCAAAGCTACACATACAAAAAATTAAAACATAGGGCAGGAAGGAAGGATCACTGAGAGAATGCCACATGAAACTAAAATAATTTTCACCTACTGGTGGAAGATGGCAACAGCAGGGAAAAGGCTAGCCTTCCTGAGGCGAGAGTTCCAGAGTTTTGGTGCCATGATCGAGAAGGGTTGCCGCCTGCCTAATTGCAGAAAGCGGAGGTACCTAAAGCAGGGCCTCAAAAGATGACTGAGGTAGTTGGGCAGATTCATAAGGAGTGGATGGTCCTCCGGAACAAAAATATTGGGAAAAATGGGAAGGAATATACAGCTGGTTGAAGATAAAGAAGAGAGAAATTAATGGAAGCTAGGCTAGCAGAAAGGGGAAATGAATTGAAGTATAGGCACTGTTAATAGAAAATATTTGAAATTAAAATTAAAACTGGTGGCATATTTTTATGGATACAATATATGGTTGAAAAACAAGAAAGAGATGTCTAGGTTGACGGACAACTATATGTCATGGAAAATTGTTAAACGGTGTAAAACAATGTAAGAAAAATCCAATAAAAATATTTATTTTAAAAAAAGAAAAAAGGAGTGGATGGTCCTCCAGGTATGTTGATCCCAAGGCATACAAGCCTTTCAGGGTCAGCACCAGCACCTTGATGTGCCTGGAAACAGATCGGGAGCCAGTGTAGATGAGCCAAGACTGGAGTGATATGGTCCCTACAACCTACCTAGGTCAATGTCCTTTATGCAGGATACTGCACCAGTTGACATTTCTAAACCCTTTTCAGGCATTCACCATGCACCGCTGTGGCCAGATCTTTTCTGCCCAGGAAACTCCCAAAGCTGGCTAACCAGATGAAGCTGGTTAAAGGCACTCCTGGCCACAGCTTATCCAGCAGAAGGCTTGGGTCCAAGAGCACCCAAGCTATGGACCTGTTCCTTTGAGGAACCATCCAGAATGGATGACACTTCAAGTCCCGGATCAGACCTTCTGCTCATTAATAGCACTTTTGTCTTTTGGGGATTAAGCTTCAGTTTATTAGCCTGCATCCACTCCAAGACTGCACCCAGGCACCGGTTCGGAGTTTCTACAGCCTCCCTGGGATCAGCTGGAAGTACGGTTGCTAGGTCCCCTTGTTGCTCCATTGAGGGGGGATTTGGGGGGCATTCCAGGAGATCCCTGATGTGATGACATCATCACACTGGGGATATCATGCAGGGACACTCTGGTTTAAGGGCAAAACTCTATGGTAAAGCTGGCTTAAAATAATAGAGTTTTGCCCTTAAACCAGAGCGTCCCTGCATGCTGCTCCTGGCATTATGACATCACTTCCAGGTGACGCCATCACATCAGGGAAGTCACTTGGGGCAGGGTTTCCCCCACTGGCCAGCTGGCCAGCAGCCAGGAGAATCCCTGAAAACTGGGGAAACCCCCGCCCTGGAAACTGGCAAGCCTAGCTGGAAGTGCAAGATAGAGCTGAGTGTCATCCACATATTAGTGTCAGTCCAGCCCAGATTTCTGGATTACATCAGCCAGTGGTTTTATGTAGACTCTGAAAAGTATAGGGGACATGATGGAGCCTTGCAGGGCCCCAGAGGCCAAAGGGCTGACTAGCAATCCCCTAGCACCACCTTCTGACACCTTCTCTCCAGATAAGACTGGAACCACTGCAAAAAATGTACCAAACAATGAGAGATGGATCTAGAGTGTCTGCACTTATTAAAGGCAGAAGGGCAGGATACAAAATCCCGATACCTAAAAACATAATGATAAACTTCTTGTTGCCATTTTGAAGATAGTGGCAAGGTGAGTATCTTGAAGGCTTCTTGGAATGAAATTGACTGTCACGTGGTACAATTGTTTCTGTGATGAGCTTCTAAGTATAGCTAGTGTACACTGGGGAATGAAGCTAGCCAGTTCTATATGTGGTAAACTAGAACCAGGTATGCCTTGTGCTCCACCTCATTACCTACCAGCTTACATGATGGGGCTGTAGTAAGTGTATCAACATGTTATCTCTCTCAAAGTGGTTTCCTAAAAGAAGAAATGGAGCATAACCCTCTAGATGCAACTTAATAGGCCAAATGCAACCTATGTTAATGTCGTCTATCCCTGGAGGGATTATTTAGTAAAAGGTGAGATTGCAAAAGTAGTAGGGAGTCTTAGAATATTTTGTATTTGCATAATGCATTTCAGGTGTTCAAAGTATTTCATATGCATTATCTTAGTAATCCTTGCTCAACTTTGGGAAGCAGTTCAACATTACCTCCCTGTCGCAGAAATGGGAGTGAGGCTAGATTTGAACTGGGCACTTCCTGATTTACAGATTTAATCTCTCAACCACAGCCACAGCATTGCATTAGCCCTACTGAAAGGTTAGTACCCAGAGTGGGAATTCGTATATCTAATGCCTCATCCCTGCAGGCCAGATGCCTCTGTAGAAGGAGAGATCAGCAGCCCTGTTGGTGCATTAATCAGGTGGGAAGCAGTGGTGGCAAAAGGGGGGAGTGTGTGCACGTATGTGTGGCTGCAGGAGCTCCAGAACTTGCCTTTTCTTTTGCCTAGCAATTTTTTGGAATTATGTACTCTAACCATTGTGCTGTGTTTGGGTAGGAGTGGCAGACCAGCTCCAAACCAACTTTGCCAGTGACCTGCGTTCTATCCTGAAGACTGTATTTGCAATTGTGACGTCCCGGACAGAGGAACTGGAAGTAACAGACACTGGCCGTGAGTTACTCTACTTGACTTGTGTGTATGAGGCTGAGCCTTTACTCTGTTCTCTACACTCAGGAGAGTACATGAGGAAGGTAGCCGGGTACAGTGCGGACGCACATTGCTGTTCTGCTATAAATACCAAGCAGTGATGTTAGGGGCAAAGTTTGTTTCATGGGGCTGTAAACAGGAATGAACCTGCCACACTGGAACTCCAGCCTTGGGGAGGCCATTTGAAAGTGCAGTAACATCTGCATGCCTGGTCACATCCTTTGAACAAGAATATGATGAGAAGCTCATTGCTGCATATTGGCACAGCATGATGAAATCTCTGAGAGGGAGTTGCAGAGTGTCAGCTGTATTAGGCTCTGAGCAAGCGTATTATTAAAACTCGCTAGCTGATAATTGCAGTACTCGGTGCTCTTGCTCCTTTACCTTTCAGATGTGCTTAGCAGTGATGACCGTCAGCGGGCAGTGGAGTGCATGTTGAAGTACTGATTTCGGGCTGCGTGCCCATTTCCGGAGTCTGGGGATCCCCTTAAGGGATTTTGGCATGAGGGGCATGCCCGGGGGCATGACCAGGGATTACCCTCACGCCTAGGTGGCGGGGGGAGACCACCTCAAGGCGTCTGCCCTTGTGGTATCCAGAGACATGTCATCCCTAGGTGTACAGTGGATCATCAACTGGCAGAAGGTCAAGTTGAGGGACAGGATCCAGTACTCCATGCTGTGCCAAAGCGTACTACAGCTGTAATTAATAAAGTTGTGGCCTATTCCCCCACTTTTCTGAAAACTGTGTGTAAGCATGTATTATTTAAAGAAAACTGTATACAGGGTTAGTAGTTAGTTGGGGGTTATGGAGGGGCTTTAGTCTGGGCGCCTGCCTCACCCCTCCTATTGGTGCTGGGGCTGCAAACATGCTGCAGACATCACTATACTAGTTGTATCTGGGCTCTGGCATTTTGCAGTGGGCAGACCTAAGCTGTCTGCATGCTAACACTTTCATTTCCCCTTTTCAGAGGTGGGGGTCTGTGTGGGGCCTGCAGTTCCTCGCCTGACAGATTGTGCCCTCTGCTCCAGTGGTAGGCAAGGCCATGGAAGACAGGGTGAGAGCCCAGAGTGTGATTCTGCTTCTGCTTCAGCATCGCTTGAGCCTCTGTCTCCTTGCCTGACCTCCAAGAACAGTTCAGCCTAGCTTCTTAAGGGTCTATTAGGCATAGCCGGTGGGAGGTGGGGGCTGTTTTGGCTTGGCTGGTATCTTAGCTTTGGTCTTTGATTTGCAGTCAAATAGAGGTTTTGCTAGCAGTTTCCTGTTTGCTTTGCAGTGGGTTTCCCCACTTGAGGTGCTGCATTGTCTCAGCTTCAGTTTGGCCTACTCAAAAGGACTCTGGAGTTTTAGTCGACAGTGCCTTGTTCACTGCTGAGACTGTACAATTTTATTTCACCATTAACTAGCACATCTCTGTTTACTATGTGTGTATCCAATTCCGAACACAGCCACAGAGTGTAGATTAAAAAATCAACGCAATTGGAGCAGATACAAATTGGGGGACCTGGAAACTCCAAGTTTGCAGAAAAAAGTTAGCTAAAAACCACAAAGGAATGGGGGGTTAATGTTAATTTTTACGAAGAAGAAGAGATTGTATTCATACCCCACCCTTCACTACCCAAAGTCTTGCGAAATTACCTCAGGAGATCTCAGCAGCCATTGTGAATTGCCTAGGCAATCCCTGACACCATCATTAGTGTTGTGTGTGCTTGCTTAGGTAATCCAAAAGAGCTGGTGCATTTCATTTTAAAACCTGAGATGAGTTGGGTGGTGGGAAAGTAGGAGCGGGCAGGCAGGAAAGACAACGATGAGGTGGAAATAAACCTAGAGTTGGTGTGGGGGGGGAGAAAAATTGAGCAAAAGGTGAGGGATAAAGGTTGTAGGAGGGAACGGAAGCACGGAAAGGCTAGAAACTGTGGCTGGGTGAGGAGGAGGAAAAGAAGGGTAGTTGAGATAGTGTGAAGAAGAGGACTGGTTGCAGGGAGTGAGATGTATGGGCCTCTAGTATTTACTCTCAATGGATGGGGGGTTATAGCTCTGTCAGTCTTCAAAAGAAGCACAGCCAAGTCACCAGCTGCCCTTCTGCCCCTTTTTCAGACACATTGGAACCACCGGAGTGGGTGCCAGACAGCACTTGCAGTCATTGCATGGCTTGCCGTGTGCCTTTTACTTTTCTTCGTCGACGACACCACTGTCGGAGTTGTGGGAAGGTAAGGGATTGGTTGCTGCTCATAAACCTGCAAACAGCTTAATTCTGGGGGAAGGGAAAAACAAGGTTTGGCAGGCAGTAGACATGAGTGTGCTTTCCCTATGTGTAGGGTAGCCCAGGCCCATAGCCAGGATTTTGTGACTTGTGAGGCCAAAAATGTTTTGGTGGGGCTGCCATTATTTGCCACAATGGGGCGGGGTGGTGTGGCACACATTCCTCTCCCTCCTCTCAGGCACGATTTAAGAGGTCCTTCAGCTGATCAGTGGGGAGCACCTAGCCCACCGATCAGCTGGAGAGCCCTTTAAATCTTGCAGGAGAGGGAGAGGATCCCTTTAAATGCTTTTGGGAAGAAGCGGGGGGCCTTTAAGAGGCTGGGCCCTTCAAGAGAGGGGGCTGGCCCTTTAAGGAAGGGGGCAGAGCCACCAATAGCCCCACCATAGCTGCAGGCCAGGGGTAGCCTATGCTGGGGGCAGTAGTTGGAGTAGAGAACTTTCTGGAAAGATTCCTTTCAGTGACATGATGCTGCGAATGAATCCCTTAGTGGTCCCTTAGCTGAAGTACAGAGATTTATCACAGCCAGGTGGGACAAGTGGGTAGAACTAGCAATTGCCAGTGGTGCCGCTCTGGAGGGGGAATGGAACAAGGGTGACATTCTGAGTGGCATAATGGGTTCAAGGAAAGGACTTGAAATTAATCTTGCTGGTTATGTAGGGCCATGTTGGCGTGAGACTGGTACTGGCTAACAGTTGCTTGTGATTTGAGACTTGACACATGGATGGGTGCATTCTTAGGACAGCATATCTATGCCGCCGCCACCCCCCCCAACATGTGAAGAGTTAGCATGATGTAGGGGTTAGAGTACCAGACTTTGGGAGTCCCAGGTTTGAATCCCCACTCTGTCATGGAAGCTTGCTGGATGACCTTGGGCCAGTCACATAGTCTCATTCTAACCGAACTCACAGGGTTGTTGTGAGGATAAAATATAGAAGGGGGAGAATGTTCTAAGCCGCTTTGGGTCGCCACTTGGGGAAAAAGTGGGGAATTAATGCAATAAGTAAATAAGTGGGGCTTGCAGAACTGGGTTACCTTATCTGATGCCCAGTTTATTTCCTTACAGATCTTCTGCTCTCGCTGTTCATCACACTTGGCACCTCTGCCCCACTTCAGGCAGCTGAAGCCAGTCCGCATCTGTACTCACTGCTACACCACTCACTTACCTTCTACCCATAAAGATGCCAGCGGCTTGTGAGCATCAGGCTGTGGAGTTGGGGCTTCATCACACACCTTGCGTGCCTACAGAAACACCAAAGACTGGCAACCAGCCACTGCCTGGGCCACCTGCAAAGGACTATGGGAATAGCCACGTGTGTCTTATTAGGATGCTCTTACGAGTTCTCCAAAGAGCTTTTCGTAGTGCAGGATGGAGTAGCAGAAGAGGAAACTCTAGAATTTCATAGCATGTGCTCTTTGTCTTAACATTTGAAGAACATCCGTGACCCATTTCGCCTGGAGCTAGAATCCATTGTAGATGGCACTTGGGCAGACGTCTGTAAATGCCATTAATAGCCTTTTGTGTCTCCATCACTCCTTTCTCAGATGGAGTGGATTGTAACCCATGTAAGGATTGCCCGGTGCTGGTAGCCTGGCTTCTGGGTTCCTGCACTTAGGAAAGGGGGGGGGGGGGGTAGGGGAATCTAAGGCTAGCTTTGTCCTACAGGTTTGTTTTCGACACACCTATAGAGGTGCATCGCCAGATGCGGACTGGAGTGTGATACGGGTTTCACAGTGCCTTTTGCTGGAGCCGAAAGCAGGAACTTGACTCCAGCAGCACCATTACAAAGCGGATGGAAGATAGCCATGAACTTTTTGCCTGCCAGCTTCTGTCATGTAGGAAGGGCTAAGGTGGGTTGTTTAGAAAAGGGCTGCAATGAACCTTGCATGTACTTTCTCTAATATGCTCTTGCCACACTAGTGTGTGGGGAAATGCTTTTGAGACCTCTCTGTGAGACTTTACAGCTCCTTCCTCTGAAACCAGCATGAGCTGGTAACTCTCCTGAATACTTGAATGAAGGCTGTCTGTTACTCCTGCCAATTTGTCTTCTCTGGGTTCAGAATAACTGTGCCGGCAGCGGCTATATTTGCCTGTAGGATTGCTGTGTTGGGTGCTAGAACAAATTTAGAGTCCAGTGGAACCTTTAAAGACCAACAAAGGTTTATTCAAGCTGTGAGCTTTTGTGTGAAAGGCACACTTTTTCAAATGCATTGGAATGGTAGGTACGGTTCAAACTTATAGACAGGGACTTAACAGTAAATTAACATGTAACATGATGATGTTTAAGATATGCAAAGTCAGAACTAAATAAGAAGCTAAGGATATAGTAGCAGATAAATGTCTAAAGGTGTCTTCTAATTGTGGGAAGCAAACCAAGAACGTCCCAGGCGTGGAGATCACTTAACAGCACTTTATGAGGTGGATGCAGTGTCATATCAGCAAAACATCCCAATATTCCTTGCATTACATTCAATATTCTAATATACTACTATGAAAAAGAAATACACTAAAATACAGAGGATTTGTAGTCCTTGTTGTGAATACATATGTGAAGACTGAATGAGTTAACCTATGTAATGAGATAAGAAACCAATATCCCTGTTGAGTCCCAGGGAGGGTTTTTTCCTAAGTGTTGTAATAACTTGTAATTCAGCAATCTCCCTTTCCATTCTGTTCCTTCCTTTGTAATAAAACAGCTACTTTGAGGTCACCCATTGAATGTCCTGGAAGGTTGAAGTGTTCTCCTACAAGTTTCTCAGTCTTGTGATTCCTGATGTCAGATTTGTGTCCATTTATCCTCTGGCGTAGGGTTTGTCCTGTTTGTCGTATGTAGAGAGCCGAAGGACACTGTTGACATTTGATGGCATATACAATGTTAGAAGATGCAAGTGAATGAGCCTCTGATGGCGTGGTTGTGTTGGGTGTTGACAGACAGGATCTGCTGCTGTACTTCCTCTTCCCGCCACAAGAAAATGCAAATACAAACTTTCAAATGTTGACACTGGTGTGTGTAGGTTTTCTTCCTTCCTTTTCTGCTCCCCCCCCCCATTATGCCTTCTGAGACATGTTTAGTTGCATGTCAGTTAGTACAAGAGTTGTGGGTTGCAATGAACATGCAATCTGATTTACCTCTGTCCAGTCAGTAGTGCAGGTGCTGACACACAAGCTCTCCAAGTTTAGCAGGCGGTGATGATCGTGCATCCAGCTTCTGTCAACCTCATACAGGTTCCTAAACCCACTCCTGTGCCTTTAGACCTTAGAGACAAGGGCAAAGGAATTGTGAATGACCTGGTAACTGGGGAAGGGGGTACATCCTGAGGTGTCTATGCTTAAACAAGTGGTACGTAAACCAACTATCACAGCTCTTTGGTGATACTGCCTGATTCTTAGTTCCTAAACCCACTCCTGTGCCTTTAGAACTTAGAGACAAGGGCAAAAGAATTGTGAATGACCTGGTAACTGGGGAGAGGGTACATCCTGAGGTGTCCATGCTTAAACAAGTGGTACATAAACCAACTATCACAGCTCATTGGTGATACCCCCTGATTCTCATGATGAATCAGCTTGATTCTTATGTTGTTTACCCAAAGTTTAAGCAGTCTTCCTTTCTCCCTCCCCCTACCATCTACCATACCCTTCCACTGTTCTTATTTCTCAGGGACAGTCCCTACTTTATAGTACCTCCGGAGGTTTCCTAACATGCAGTTCTGTACAAAAATAATCAGTTCTAAAATCAGATTCCTGTAGTTCTAATGAGAGTTTCATGTAGTTCTGAATTGGTAGTTAAAAAAATAAGTAGGAAGCAAACTCCTTTATTTGACAAACAGCACATTGCAAAACGCACCATTTGTGTTTTGTTCTCATGCTTTTATCTCCTTGGCTTCAGTTCTGGCTGGCCTTGTCATCAGGGTATAGTTCTGCTCGCACAGCAGCCAGAAGGGAAATGTACTTTACATAAGTAGTCAGGGGCACTTTCCTGTCTGGAAACCCCTGGGTATTGCAGGTATTGATTTAATGACATTGGGTTAGAGTTGGCTGTCCACTGGAAAGAAGGAAAGAGGTATGCCCAAAATCATCTGTGCATTCTCATGTGCACAAAAGGAAATATATTTGCTGTAGCATTGTGAAGGAGCACATGCTTAGCACACCAGCTATGCCACTGCTATGCAATTCTAAATTTCTCTTAGGATGCCTGGTGTAGTACTTCTCCCTATCTTTAATTTTTTTGTGATTTTCAGACATCTTGTTAGTATGTACTAGCACTGAACGTGAGACCCCAGTGGTGAAAACCAGTGATATCTAAAATACAGGAGAATCTCTGAATGTCTTAGCGTAAACACAGTCTTAATGTAAACACATGCAAATTCTCATGCATGAATAGCAAGATACTATCTAGTACTCAGCACTTTACACATTGCCATTAATGTTTGTTGTGACAACATATTTTGGGACAACTATGTTCTCTTAACCTATCTTTAAGCAAAAGAAAACCCACCATGTTTTGTGTGTAAGTTGTGTGACTAGACTTGGGTATGGTGAAGCCGGTTCTTGACTCTGCCATCCCCATCCCTCTCCAGATGCAAATTTGAGTTGCAGTTATTCTATAATAAGTACGACCAGATCTACTGAAGGTTAAACATTGATTTTTTTTTTTAAGGCAACTGTTCTGGTAAGCTAACATCATTTTCAGCAGCTCGTGCAGAAAGAAGCTATTGCCGAGTAAATGAATATGATAAGGTTTAATCCCTCTGATGGCACAATATACTAATCTGTTAATGTATTAAACAAGAAAAATTGTGAAAAGGGGTGTGTGCGTGCGTGATAACACAGGCTTCCCATTTTCTCTGTAAAAGACAGCTCTGCTTGGCTAAAAAGGGGGTAAACTGTCACGTCACCTCAACAATAATAAACTTGGTATGGGGAAGCGACCTAATTGGAAACAAGAGCAGGACATTATTTACTTAATTTATATCCCACTTTTCCTCCCCAGTGTAGTGTAAAACAGTTTCCCGTCTACATGTTGTCCTCACAGCATCCATATTAGGTCAATTAGGAGAGTTAGCACTGGCCAAGGGTCACCCAGCATGGTTCCAAGGCAGAGTGGGGATTTTAACCTGGATCTCCCCAATCCTACCTAGTATAACACTCTAACTACTACCCCATGCTGACATAAGAAATGTGTCTTCTTCATATACTCTTGTTCCTGTAAAGTATTGATTGGAGTACAGACATGATTGTGTGCTGAGGGGGGGAGACATCCTGCCTCTTTATTCCACTGAGGACATGGGTCCCTTTGTTCCTGTGTCCATCTTACGTGTGAAATGTGATAAATCAATACTATACTGAGTGAATGCAGCCAACTGGTATGAATAAAAATCAATGACTTCTTAAAGAAGTTTTAGCTATAATTTTTGACTTGCAGACAAAAGCAGTTCCTAAGAGGGTCATACATCCAGTTTTAAAATATATGATTGTATTACAAATGTAGAATCCAGTGGCACCTTTAAGACCAACAAAGGTTTATTCAAGGTATGAGCTTTCATGTGCATGCGCACTTTTTCAGACCAACATGGCTGACGACCTGGAATGATTGCATTACAATAAGGCTGTAGGAACATCTTAATTTGCAAATTGCCATACAGTTCAAAAGTTCAGGGGCTTCCATTATGGCTTGGAAGCTATGGACAGACAGGTCACCACATGTCCACTGATCCATCTGGGTAAACTTTAAGGCGTTTTAGGCCTGTTTTATGCCTGATAAATGCCCGATCTCTGCAACAGGCATGGATCTAATTCTAAATATAAATCAAGGTACTTACCTTCCATCTCAGAATGCTGGTCTGACCAGTAGTTACTGCCAGCCTTTTGAAGCTACTGGAGACGATCTACTTTTGAAGGGTAGGAATTATATGACAACAGAGAAGGCACAGGTGAAAGCAGAAAGGAGAATTAGAAGAAGCAGCATCTCAGAGTGCTGATTCCAACCAGCACCTGTCTACAAAACCTGCCATGGCTGCAGGTCGTAAAGGATACCCTATCTGGGGTCATGAGCATTAAGTTATCTAAAAATAAGCAATGTATTGCATATCATATTCTAAAAATAGCAAAAACATGTAGGAAACATACTATGTTCTCTTTACAGTTCTGTAAAGAGGATTTAAAACTGAATAAGTATTTTTATGGTTATAGCCGAGAATTAGTATATGTGTGTTTTTTTAGGGAATATATATATCATAATGGGTTTGGATCCCACCACTCTGTTCTATGAAGTGTAGGGCCTTCCTCAGGTACAAAGAGACTTCTGCCTCCTTGTGCTGGAAGAAGGCCTTGTACTTAGCTGAGCAGGGTGATAGTGTTCTATCCAATTAAAAATATTGGGCACTTTCACACATGCAAAATAAGGTCATTTCAATCCACTTCAGCAACTGTTTGTAAGTGGATTTTGCCATCTCACACAGTAAAATCCAGTTTAAAAGTGCATTGAAAGTGGAATTAAAGTGTGTTATGTTGTGTGTGTGAAAGTGCCAATTGTTTTTTATGATCACCTAAAATCGGCCTTTTTTCTGGGTGGTTTAAAGCAGTGAATCAGGTTTCCTTGACTAAAGTCACTCTACCATGTACCTGACTAGATTCCCATGTGGGGAAGTTTGCTCACTTATGGAATGTGGGCTTTAATCTCAGCAACATGTTTGGTAATCTTCAATTGCCGTTGTGTCATCCCTAGTTATTGACTCAGGCACAGTTTAAATATGATGCCAGCAATCAAGAAAATGTGCTAGTGTAATCTTGCATGCGCTCACCTGCTATGCATGCAATGTTAGCATGCCCAAGTTCAGCCACCCAGGTGCATATTGTGCTGCCATGTCAATGTTACACAAAGAATTTTAAACAGAACTCTGTGCCCATCAGTATAAGGTAAGTTCTTGCTCCCCAGCATCATGTATAATTTAGGCTTCATTTATTTATGTGTTGCAGTATGAGGTTATTTCTGTTTTTTTTTTAAGTGGGGGGCTTACATATCTATACCTAAATGAAAATTAAAAGCCAGTAGTACTTCATAAAAACCATCTTTCTATGTGTATGATATTGTTAACTCGGGAAGCCTTCAAGGAAAAATACCATATTACCCTCTTTAAAATGTTATGCACGC